CCAAGGCAAACGCGCCGCGGAGGGAAAGAATGGGGGGGGGGGAGGGAAAGTAGCATAAAAGACAGAATAGAAGTTAGTTAATAACAGCGATAGCAAAGGATGAAAATGAAGAACGTGCAGTGCGCGTCCGCCCTGGGCCTAGCCCCTCCTATTCTAAGGATGTGAAGGAGAACAAGAAAGGGATATCACAGGTTGGGCCATTGTGCCCAAATTAACCCACTATACCCACCAGAGAGGCACACACCGGTCAGCAAATGAATCCAAAAGATGCCTCTCAGTGAGAGCCAGGCCCTCGGTATGAACCCACGAAGTGACAGTCTTTAGGGCCACGTAACCGCCGGCTCGGCTCCCTCCGTCTGGCAGGTAGTAGTAGTAGTAGTAGTAGTAGTAGAAGGAGAAGGAGAAGGAGAAGTAGGAGGAGAGGCGAAGGCTTTGGATGGAAAAAGGAAACCAAATAAAAACAAAAACGAAACAATATAAGTTTATTCACTGCCTTCCAACGCGGTATTGATGATAAAAAAAACGAAAAACAGGTTATCAACCAAGAGAGAAAAATGTTAGAAAACATTTTCACGCAATTATTGAGCATCACATAGTCCCAAGTTCCTTCTACACGATTCTAGAGACACAACTAAGGCACACATCGAGCAAGCACCCCGCACAATGGGCAATTCTTTGTAAGGCCGTTCGCACACATGTAAAATAAACCCATAATGGTGCCTTATAGACATCTCAACCCCCCAAGCAGATAAACTACAGGGACGCATGCACATCGTTAAGATTGTTGTGCGTGACATTACAACAACAAGTCGAAGAACGTCATCCTGGCGATGGGACGTGAACGCCACTAACCAAAGCTTTTCCGCCCCGCGGTGAAAAAAGGGAAAACCGTGGCAAGTATGCGAAAAAGCCATAGAACGTGCAAAAAGCCACGCGAACGCGCCCTTGAAACGTTTAGCTCCAATTACAGTAAAAGAGGCCAAAAAGCATTAAGAAAGAAATACAAGGAACCACACACACAAAGAGAGGTAGAGATAACAAAAAAAAGCACACACAGATGCATTTGCCCTCACTCCCACTTCGTCCAGCAACCACGCACACACACACACAGAGAGAGAGAGAGAAAGGGGGAGAAATGGAGAGAGGAAGAGAAGGTCATAGAAAACCAAAGATTCAACGCAAAGTAAGAGAGGGAAAGAGACGCTCAGAGTATTGAGATTGGAATCTCTACATTCATGAGAATTTATGTGGTCAGATGGGCGGAGATTGTCTCGCCGCAGTCATCTCCCACTAGTTTCAACCCCTCAGTGTTCCCTGCTTCGTCGCCTCAGACAATAATAGAGGAGACAAACGCCACAAAACGCTCCGCGTACTCTCGGGGAGGAACAGAAGATATTTTCTTTGGGTCCTTTGCTAAACCCAAAAATACCGTCTCCAAATACTTCCCGACATTGTACCTCTGCAAGATATCAATAATTCCAATGTAATATATTTCCCTCCGAGTCCCTGGTTGATCCGTGCTGCGCATGCCCCCCTCATCTGCCGTAAAGCATCGTCCATCGATGACAGTTTCAGGCGTAGGGGCGTTAGCACCGCTAGTTGTCCACTGCACCTGCCCGTCCGAAGCAACACCAACTGCCGTTCCGTCCAGTTGCAAGGTCGGCAGCGAGGACGGACCTGATGGCAGGCTTTCTCTTAGTCCTGCCACACCACTCCCCAAACTCCGTGGATCGGACGCTGGCAAGACATGAATACCAACTATAAACGAGTAGTCCATAATGTGGGACTGTTTCAAGAAGTCACAGTCTTTTCTAATTTGTTCAATGAGTTGTGCCCTTCGCGCAGGCCCTACATGTATGGGACGGTTTAAATCAAGATCCTTTTGCGTGCAAGTCTGCTTTCTTTTTTCGGCCTCAGTGGCAAAACGTCCTACGGTGCTTCCCTTGATATCATACTTTTCGTGTATGGCATTTCCCGTCGCAAAAACGTTCTGCATTATAATAAAATTTATCTTCTCTCCGGCAATTTCAAGGCGATGGTGTCCAACGAAGTGCGGCAGTAGCGTATGTGGGTTATCTAGTATAAAAAAATAGTAGCGATGTAAGATGCTGCGCAAAAACTCACTTTCGTTCCTGGTCATGGTTTTTATAACCCAATCCTTGCCGCAGAAAAAGAGATGCGCCGCCGACTTTCCGGGGGTAGGGGTACTGTGCCACCTACTTCGCATCAGCACCTCACAGTAGGTCATTGGATCGATATCGAAGAATTCCCGTATGTGGCGATAACACATAGGAGAGTAGTCAGTGAACTTAAAAGAGATTTGTGGGTCGTCGTCGTCGTAATCCTCCGTGTCACTATGGGTGACGTCAAATTTGGCAGTTCCAGTCCCGCGAACCGGCAACACTTGTGGCGGCCGCCGCTTCACCGCGGATGCACCACCGCAGCAGCCGAAGGCTAATCCACCGTTGCTTCCGGCCTTGACTTCAATGGTAGTCTCAATTGTGAAGTCTTTCTTCGGATCCAGCGGTCGCCGCTTGGCTGGGTGAGATATACTTTTGATGCTCTGCCCCAGGGCCCACTTCATGCATCGAATAATGTTACGCGTCGCTTCGTTTTGCCGCGACGTGGGCTCCGCTGAGGCATCAAATGACCCACGCTCCCCCACGCCGTCACTGAGGCCACCGCGGTCGGGTGTGCCGCTGCCGGAGGACGGATCGGGCTCGAACGAGATGGAGGCGATAACCTCCCTGTTGTATGGCATCCACAGAGGTGTTACCTAAAGCACTGCAGTCACGCCTCTCCGGACTGCTAACTATCGACCTAACGCAACATGAGGCGTCAAAATTAAATAAATAAAAGGGGGAGAGCCAATGAACCAAATATGCATTAAAAATACAAGACAATTATGTTATTTTCAGCAGCACCCGGGGCATGAACACCTTCTTTTCCTCCTATTACTTTTTCCCCCTTTTGGATTTTTAGTTGGGTTTCATTCACGTTTGGCACTGCCCCGATAGAAGTCCCTTGTGTGTTTGTTTGTTCGTGTGCGTGTCTTGCGCTTTGCACGGCGAGTGCACACACGCTTGTGTTTAATGAAGTGAGTGTGTGGCCGCACCACGCAGGCCACCTGCAACGGCGACTAGTCCTTCTTTCCCCACCACCGCCACCTTGTCCCTCATTGCGGGTAAAAGAGAAATTAACAGCCACCCACAAGGTCCTTCCAAAGGGCGTGCTGGCACATAAACTCCCACGCTGTGCGAACATGATCGTCAGGCCCGTCTCTCGACAACAGCACGCGGGCCAATGGCAGGTTGAGACCGTCGTCATGAATAACTACTGCGCGGCGGGACTGCTTTGGCGCCCCCACCAGGTGGCTTTCTTCATGCCGACACACCTTCTTGAATAGAGTCACGTCCGTGTGTGCGACGTATCCACAGCCGAAGAAAGGAAGGTCGGCGGTCCAGACTGCCACCAGCGGCACATTTCTCGCCATCTCCGCTTCAGCTTCAAGCACAAAAACAGCAAGCCTGCCTGCATCATTTAATGCTGCTCCTGCAGCCCCTCCCTCACGACGCAGGAGAGCAAGTTGAGAGGTAGTATAATGCACAACATCTTCACTAACAAGAATGGCATCAATAGGGGCAAACAGTGTCAGGAGGGAGCGCTGCTTGTTGCTCAGAACGGTGTTTCCTCCCCGGAGAAGCATAGCCCGCGCCAGCTGCATCGTGGGACGCCGATACGGTTTCCGGAGGTCATCTGTGGCGTGGTTGCTTGCCTCGCACACAGACACCGTGTCCTGTGAGCTCATACGGACGAAGCGTACGGCCGCCAGCCAACTTTGACTCGACAGCTGCGTGCGCTGCCACTCCTTTAGCCCCTCAACCCCATCCGCCAGTCGCAACTCCAACGTGGCGAAGGGAATGTACAGGAGAACGTTCAGCAGAAAGCGGACAAGGTACGCTTCAGACTGCTCCCGAGAGCACACAACCGACACAACGTGAACGCTATTTGAAAAATAACGCCTCACCTGTCTTTCAAATGTGCTTTTTTGCTGCAACGAGAATTGCTTTAGTTCCCTGAATAGCGGGATGACGGCGTCATAGTCGCGAACACAGCGATCCACGGCGGCGTTTAACGCATCCAAATCCCCTGAGGGAACGCGAAAGGCCTCGGGAAGCGGGACATCTTGTTTACACCCGCCGACCAAAGCGTCGTCTACGATAATGCAGACGTCAAACAAGACTGCCTCAAAGATCAGCCGCTCAGCACCTGGAAGCTGTAGGTCAACACCCGCAATGGCCTCACCGTACAATGCATACAGTTTCTCCGGGGCGAAACCGGCGGCTCGTACAACTTCTTTTGGCGCCCCATGACGACCCACAAAATCATCCGGACTTAGCTTTACATCCGAATCCAGCAACACCAGGGGCAGGCTGTGTCCCCGCCTCTTTGACCTACGCCATGACGATTGACTCTGCGCCAACTGCACAATATGTGGGGAAACGTATGGAAAAAGTAATGCAAGCTTTGACTGGTTCATGTAAGACATTGCGATAAAGTTTGTGTGTCCCGCAATGGTACACCGTGCTCGGTCACGCCTGCGCCAGACGGTAAGATGCCACTGCATTTGACGTACACCTGACTCCAAATGATTCCTGCGCACACACGGCCACGTTTCTGTTGCAATCAGCACATCACCTTCCAGGGCGGACTCATGCCATGCTTTGTAGTCCTTGAACCAACGCAGCGGTGGGGCGTGTTCAAGCGCAAACTTGTACACCTTTCTAAAGAAAGGAACCACAGGACCACCTTGTTCCTTTCTGCGTGTGTCTAGCGTGGTGCGAAATCCCCAGCGATGCAACGCGAGAAAGAGTTGAATAAGGGCCTCTGGTCCCCCTTTTCGAATGCCAACATGAAGCACGCGGAAAACCTGCGGGATGGCAGTGTGCAGCACCGCAGGGCACGCTAGTTCTTCCAAATCGTCGCATGCTGCTCCTTCAGCCCGACTCACGCAACGCCCCCTCGCCGCACACCAAAAGCAAACCGTCGACGGATGACTCGCATTAAGGGACGCTCCCATGCGAGTACCGGGAAACAGACAATCAAGGCAGCTGCGCGCCTCACTACAAGCATCACTCCCCGGCTGTCCTCTTGGCGCCGGCAGCGTGGCATGCTTAACGGCACCGTCGTCGTCCGCGACCTCCAGCAGCAGACCCAGTAAAATGCATAGAAGAAGGCAAAAAAGAAATATGAAGGCGGCGCTGCATCGCAGCCACCCACCGAAGCATCTCCGCAGCCTCATATGGCCTCAATATTGCCTTGGCCACAACCTGCAAGGTACACACCAATTCAACCAAGCAGACAGGAGAGAAAGAAGGAGGGGGCCGGAAGCAACGGCAAAAAAAAAGACACCAGTATGAGTAAACCGCAGCTGCACACAAGAACTCAGAGCTGAGTGAGCAAATCCACCACAGCACCATTCAAAGCTCTTCCTCCTCGTCCTGTTAAACCAGCTGCATGGTGACAAGAAAAATAACCAAGACGATGTATTCTTACATCTCTTTCTTTTTTTTGTAAAAAAAAATCTTTTTCTTGACACTGCCACCTTTTTTCCTTCCATTTTTAGGCCGTTCCTCTCGTCCGTCCTTTCCTGCATTGCCTCCCCCCCCCCCCCAGCAGTGACTGGTGATACACGACTGCATTTCAAGGAATTTTACACTCCATTTGCTTCTTCCTGTTTTCTTTTTTTTTTCCTCTTTTGCCCCCTTCTCAGCTTACAGATTACGACCCACCGGTCCGCTTGAGCTTCTCCACCTTTGCCTTTTTGCGATTCGCGCCCCCTGTGCCGTACGTCTTTCTAAGCGCGACGGCCCTCTCCTCGAGTTTCATCTCCGACTGGCCCTTATCTCCATCCACGTCGTTTGCCTCCGTCTCTTTTTCCTCCTCCCCACACACATCCCGACTGTCAACTGCCGTGTCCTCCTCCTTTTCTCCCCGCACCGCAACCTCTCCCTCACCCTCGATCTCTCCGTTTAACACAGCGCTTGTCGCTTCGAACTTCCCTGTTGCCTCCGTGGACTCTCGTGCACGCTTCTCTGCCGTCTTTCCCCGCATTAACGCCTCCACCACCTCGTGGCCGGGTATTGCGACAGTTGGCAGACGCCTATTTCGAAGCACGGCAGCGAGGTTGCACATGGCGTTAAACCACGCAGACGGTAACGTAAGCTGCAGCGTCGCTGCCTCCTCCTTCAGAAACACTGGACGCGGCCGCTGCTCTATGGACGGAAGTGTTCCCGTCATGGGACGATGAACACCACTCATACATGACAGCGCCCCCACGTTACGCACTGAGTGCGGCTCAGGCTTTATCTCGGGCTCTGACTTTTCTGCAACGGCATCGCTGCCCACCGCATCCTTCACAATCTGAACTAGCTTCATCACGTTGGTGCGCACCACCATACTCACCGGGGTGCAGCATTTAAGAACGTCGTTTGCGGAGGCCGGGAGTTTGGTGGCAATAGCCAACACAGCGGAAAGTTGCAGAACAGCTGGAGGTGAATCATCAACCTCCCTGGCGGCGGCATCTCGCCAATTAAACACGTCTCGCGCCACTTGCATTTGTGTGGGAGACAACCCACCCAAACTTCTCCCTAGGGCAATTTTATACGTTGTGTCAGGGTCTAGTTGTGGCTTCTCGTAAAGCTCCAGCGACAATCGACGGCTTTCGTTCAGCACATGCACAAGCAGATTCCCTATTGAGGCACGGCCCTCGCTATTAAGAAGAAGTGTCTTTAACCGATCATATACGTATAAAAGGAAATGAGTATCCTGCCGCGCGTATGCCACCATTTCTGCTGGAATGGGTCGAATACGCCAATCTGATGTTTGATACTTCTTGTTCAATTTCACTTGACAGAAGTGGTCCACGGCAAAGGCTAAGCTGTGTGGCATGTGCAGCGTCTGCAGGGCTATCCCTGTATCGAAAAAATTTACAAGGTACAGACCAAAGTCTTTCTGCAACCACCGGACGTCTTCGCGTGCTCCATGAAAGACTTTTAATATACGCGAACTTAAAAACACAGGCGCCAACAGATGCATCGAAGAGCGCAGTTTAAGGCAATCAATCACAATGTCTTCCCTCCGAGTACTGATCTGCATGAGGCATGTGAAGCCTTGATAGGAATAGAAATCGTGATGCTCCAAATCCACTGCAATTTCCTTCTCCTTCAGCAGTGCACGCACGACATCCTCAAGCTCCGCCGTGGAATCCACAAATCGAAGTGGACATGCAGCTAACGGAAGATACGGCGTTTCCGCGCGACGAATCAACTGCTCCTCAGGGATAGAAGTCTTTTTAATGAGTTCCGCAAATGGGTGCACGCCAGGCTGTGCCACGTGCCGTTCACCCTTTTCGTCATAGTAGACAGGAGAGAACGGCGTGGGACTGTTGTCCACAGGCTGATCAAACGTCAGCTGCGGACGAACTACGCAGTCGCCCCCACCCACGGCAAAGGAGGAGCCTTGAAGTTCGGAACCAAACGTTACAGACAGCTGCTCTTTTGCATTTAACCGCCTTCCTTTCAAATCATCCAGCAGCCCATCAACATTCTCCAGAAGCGAATCCACCGCCTCCATCACCGCCGCGCGCCGCTGATCCGTCAAAGTGTCTGCGCCTTCCTCGAACTTTGTTCGTCGTTTTTCGGGGAGCAGCTGGCAACATTTATCCATGAACTCCACAAGTGACTCGCTGTGTCGCCTGACTTGTTGTCTAAACCCAGGAAAGGCCATGTGGTAGTCATAGTCATCCAATGGGAGTTCGCTCGCCAACTTACTGTAACCCTTCACCAACCCAAAGGCCCCATTCACGATGTCCTTCGTCCGCGGAAGGTCCCTTGACATGCCACACGCCCTGATCCCAACAATTCCCTTTTTTCTTGTTTCTCACACTCATGCATACAACAGAAGTAAAAAAAAAGTTTTGGAGAGGAAGAGGGAGACTCTGCATGTAGCACATGCTTTTTTTTTATTTTGTTATTCTAAGGGGCATCCAACAAGAGGGCGAACCCAGAGAAGCACACAGACACGCACAAACGGGGACGTTCTCTCTCATAAGGTAATTATCCTTCAAATATATAGTTGCTTTGCACGCCGTGGAAAACACCACCAATCACAAAAAAAGAATTTAAGTAAAAAAAAGCAGGGCAGGTGCGTACTCCCTTATTCTAAAGCGCCGCCGCCAAAGGCACGTCCCGTTCTTCTTTGGGCCGGCAGTGGTTGCGGCAGCCACGCTTAAAATGGCGACAGGTAGACTCCGTGGTGTGTTTTCACGCTTGGACGATAGAAGGTGAACCATCAAATTTCATTTGACCCACAAACTAGAAGGGAGAACTGCGCACCGACACACAACCCCACTCAGAGAAAATCAAGAAGTGGCAATGAGAGAGGGAGTAGTCCTGGGCGGTAGGAGACCAAAAAAAAAAGAGGAAAAGAGAGAGAGAGAGAGAGAGAGAGAGAGTAG